CTGAGCCTGTGCTGTCCCTGGTCACACAGGGTCAGCGTGGCAGCTAGTTCACCCCGCGCCCAGGTCTGGCCTTACCCAGAGCGTGGTAGTGATGAACCAGGACTATGGGTGGGAGATGGAAGACGTGAGAGCTGCTGATGGGAAGATTTTTAGGAGACTCTGGTGCTTCCTGTTACGTGTGTCCCATTCCAGAAAGGCCTGAACTTTGTCAGTCAGTCAGGTTGAATCTCTTCCAGAACAGGTGGGATTTCTGCCCAGGCGTGCACTGTGAAAGTACATACAATGCAGGCTCTGAAAATATGACTCCGTATAGGCTGTTGCAGTACAGAGCTTTGTCCGTACCAGTTAGACCTTCTCCACCGGGGCTTTCTGTCCATGGAGGTCCCCCAATAGGTTACTTCCCTTTCTCAGGGAGCTTGGCCATTGGATTTGGCATTAAGGGGACATAAGATGCCCACTGCAGTGTCCTGGCTGGTAGACAGAAACAAGAGGAGCGTGTTCTTAGGACACTCCGCCTGCCTCTGTGACTCCCTCCTCGGAACACGGGTGACTGGGCACTGCTGTCACTCCAGCTCCCAGTTGCTTCTGACTACTTTTCTAGTACAGGCTGAGGCCTGAACCGGGCTTTCATGGTCCCAGGACACTTCCCCGTGCAGGACAGGGCAGCGCAGTGACAGAGACAGACCCTACCACTGTCAGAGAGGCTGCTGTGTCATGAACTGCGGTGACTCCAGGAGACCCTCCAGTCCCCATGGCACTCTTATTGGAAGGCTGCTGGACCTGGCTGTAGCCGGCAGACTCTCCACTGGCAGACTCTCTGCATCTTTGGTCTCCTGGCTGGGTCTGCAGGCACCCTGTCTGTCCTAAGAGCCAGAATATGGTTAATGAGTGTGAACTGTGCCGCATGCCCTCAGATCCAGGCTCTGTGCCAGGGGCAAGGGAGTCAGTGTACACCTTCCCCTCCCCCTGCTGTGAGGTCAGAGCCAGGTCTCTCTCTGGACTTGCCTGCGTAGCTCCCTGGGAGGCTGGGAGCAGGCTGTTTTCTTTGACCTGTTGTCTGTGCTTGTTTCCCTCCCTGCTCTCTGAGCACTGTTTGTCGGCGTGGGTGTTTTTGGGATAACTGGGGAAGGAACATGGGTGGGAATCACCCCATCCTGGCCAGCTGGGAGTCACAGACAACGGCAGCCCATGAAGCGGCCTGGCTGCACCCCTGGGTCCGTGTTATTGTATCCCTCAAACCCGGGGGCTTATTTACCTCCCACTCCTTGTAACTGTCACCTTCTCTCTTTTGTCTTTGTCTTGCTTAGGATGCAAAGAAGGGACCTAACCCGCTCATGAGACGCAATAGTGTCACCCCACTAGCCAGCCCCGAGCCCACCAAAAAGCCTCGCATCAACAGCTTTGAGGAGCATGTGGCTTCCACCTCTGCTGCCCTGCCTGGCTGCCTGCCCCCGGAGGTGCCCACGCAGCTGCCCGGACAAGTCAGTCACTCCTCTCTCCTTCACCCTTGGGGGGCTATGGCCTAGGACCTGGGATTGTGTGTGTGTGTGTGTGTGTGTATTATGTACATACGTGAGTATGTCCACATTTCACATACATGGATATAGGTGTTGTGCTTGTATGTGTGGGGATATGCATGTGTGTTATGTTCTGCGTGTTTATGTGTGTGGGTGTGTGTGTTATGTTCTGCATATGTGTATGGGTATGCATGTGTGTTATGTTCTGTGTGTGTATGTGTGTGGGTGTGCAGGTGCATTATGTTCTGTGTGTGTGTGTGTGTCTGTGCATTATGTTCTGCATGTATATGTGTGGTGTGTACCTCTATTGCATGTGTGTTGTATGTGGCGCATTATGTGTGCATGTGTATCTCTAGTGTGTAGCATACTATGGGTGCATATGAGTGTGTTGCACTTGTGTGGGTGTGCGCACACATGCGTGCGTGCTGGGAGAACATGAGCAGCCCACTCTGAAGTTGAGACTGGCGGTGGTGGGAGGGTCTTCCCTTGCTGGTGAGGATTGCACCTATGTTGGCTCCTTGCTGAGGATGAGGCCCTTGCTGGCAGAGTGGAATATCTGAGTCTGGTTATATCTCGAAGTCCATGGAATCCCCCGAGCCCAGCAGCCTCCATGCAGCTCAGGGCCCCCTGGCGTCCGTCCACGTGGACTGAGGACGTCATTTCTGTCCCACCCACTGAGTATTTCCTGGGCTCTTTCCTTGCTGTGGTCCCACAGTGCGGAGCGTGCACAACCCTTAGGGCCTAGGCGCCTGACTCTCAGGCCGGATAACCACGCTACATGGTTATTTCAGCAGGTAGTCAAAAAGTAAGCCAAACAAAACAATCCAACCAGATTTCATTATTTCATTAGCTCTGAAGATTAGAGTCTGGATGATTTTTGCCCTTGGGCATTAGGATTTGTTTTTAGAAGACAAGGCTTTTCCTCACATGCAACCGATCCTTTACAAACATGTGAAATGTAGAAACCTCTGGGTTTAATTTAGCTACCACCCAAGGGCCTACCTCACCTCCACCACTCATACCTTCGAAATCAACCATGAGCTAAATTTCAAATGTGGTTTGTTAATGAGCTCAACGTCAGTGCCACCTTGGGGGACTTCCCTTTGGCCACCTGACTCTTCCTGACTTCCCAGGCAACCTGTGGTTGCGGGGATGGGACATGGGAAGAGTGCTGCAGCCTCTGCGGTCAGTTAATCTCTCCAGGCCTCGGTTTTCTCCTCTGGAGATTGGGGGAGGCTGCAGAAGGCAGGCCCGATGAGGTGACTCCTGCCATGTCCCTAACCTTGCGTAGGCACATGGGAAGGGCTGCATAGGGGCAATGACGGTGATCGGCGGGGAGCCTGCAGACTTGGCTTGAGCTGTAAGTCCGCCATGAGCACAGTGTAGGTGCTTTTTTGTTTGTTTCTTAGTTTTTGTTATATAGTGCATGTGCTCGCCAGAGAGAGACAGAGACAAAGAGGGGAAGTGAGAAATCACCTTGGGGGGCGGGGGATAGCCGTGCTGCGATCTCTTCCTCTCCATTCTCCTATTGGGACTTTGGGCACACACATACAAGCTCCTGATGTGATTTTTCAAGCTGCAGGGTCGGGAACTCAAACTGTGCCGTGAGCTATCTGGGATAGCTGTCTGGGATAGCACGTTAACTTCCACGCCTCCGATCCGCAGTGTAGAATTTTAATCAGGTTAACTTCTCCTCCCTGGTCCTCAGTCTTCTTGCTTTGCAAATGAGGCATAGGCCTGGGACGCCTCTTGGGAATATTCCTTTTTGCCTCAAATCGGAGGACATTTTTGATGAAAACTGAGCAGAATTGAAATGGCATCTGTGACATTCTGCTCTGGGATGAACATGGGGTCATATTGGGAAGGTCAGAAGCTGCTGTTGTGAATGCCTGGGGAACCAGCCTGGGCAGGGGCGGGGTGACCTCTGTTGTAGAGGCTGCAATGGCAGGGGCCCAGTCCTCTCTCCTCAACTTTAGAGCCGCCTCCGACATTGCCTGATACCCCATTCTCAGGGATACCCCGAAACCCTTGGCTAGGCCTGCTGAGAGAGGTTTGGCAGGGCGGGGTCCTGGCTCGCACTGACTTCTCTCTCTGCTTTTTCTCTCTGCAGCCTTTGCTAGGGAAAGCCTGTCTGTAAGTATTTCTATGAGTACTTCTGCCACTTGCCCCTCTCTCCTGCTTGCCAGTTTGGCCTTCCCTGTTAAAATGTCAAGGACGAGGCCAGTTTGTGTGAGGCCTCCCATGAGGGAAGGAGGCGGTGAGCACAGGAGGAGGGAGGAGGGAATTTGTGAATTATTTAGACGAGGATGCATGAGGCCACTGCGACCCAGTGATTTCAGTGTGTGCTGACGCTGTCACCGCCTCAGCTCTTGCCCTCTGTCCCTCTCAAGGCACCTGGTGGTTGTTTGTAATGGCTGTGGTCTGAGCTTGGCAGAAATCCAGGTTCCCTCTTAGAGTCAGACTTGGGGTATGGTAGATTTGGGCCGGCTCCCACTGCCCTTCAAACTCCCTTCTTGCCCCGGAGTGTCCTTTCATTTTGCAGGAAGAAAGTGACTGGTGCCTAACCTCGAAACAGATTCATGAAGGCCATGTAGGCAGATGGCAGTGTAGGGGTGGGTAGGGTGCCCTATAGCCTGCTTTCCTGTAAGAAGGCCCCTCATTGGAGAGCCTGGGGAACCCACCTTTGGGACCCAGTTGTCCTGTGTGGGAAACTGCTCACTGTCACGGTTGCATTTGGGATCAGGTGCTGCTTTCCCAGCGGACCCGTGGGCTTCCTCTTTCTCAGGGCAGAGCGCCCCGGAGACAGGGTGTGATTCAATGTCTCCTCAGCCGCCTTTGGGTAGGTCACTCTGCCTTCCCACTGACCTCCAGTCGCCATAAACTATTCCCATCCGTCCGCTCAAGTCACATCTCCCCTTTACTCCCTTTTGCTCATTTGGTGGCCTTGACTAGTTTTACAGTCTGGAAAGATTTAGAGGCATTTAACCCAAGGAGCCAAAATGCATGGCTTGTTTTTGGAAAAAGGAGCCTCAGGGACGGTGCTGACACCACATGTACTAACGTGTACTTGCGGGGCTTTACGGCTCGCGGAGAGAGTGCTGGCACCTATCAGCTTCTCTGGCTCTCAGAATGGCCCTAGAAGGTTGGCAGGGCCGTTTCTCCCCATCTAACCGATGAGGGCAGAGGTTTGACTTGCCCATGCCCTTAACTAGATTGCAGCAGCCTGTCTCTTCCCCTCTGGCCCTCCCAGGGCTCCTGGTGGTGGTTTGTGATGGCTGTGGTCTGAACCTGGTGTAAACCCAGGTTTCCCTTTAGGGTCAGACTTGGAGGGACAGTAAGTCTGGGCCTGCTACTCCTGCCCTTTAAACTCTTGTTTCTTTCTGCTGGTTTCTGGGAGCAGCAAGAATCCTGTTGCTGCCTCTGCCCTGAGGCCCCTGAGCCTGCAGTCCCAGCTGTAATCCCCTCCCATGGCTCTCACTTTCAGCTGCCTCCTGTGATGGCTCAGCTTTGCTTATCTAATGGTGGCCTGTCCATTCAATTAACCAAAAGACATCCTCACAGTCGTGTCTTATCCCTTAGAAGCAGATCCCGAGCATGGAGGCCTTTAGAATTAGGGCTTTTCCTCGTACAAAAAACTAGCCTTTGGACTAGGAGCTGTCTGGGTTTGCTTTGGTGCATACTCTGTTCCCTTTGACCCAGCCCGATGTGAGGAAACACCTACCGAGAGGGGGCCTTGGGTACAACCCCCACCCTTCCAAAGTTGAACTTGTCCTGAGAAGAGTAAGAGAATGTAGTGCTTTTGGCAAGCAGCCCTCCAGTTCAGCAAAAGTGCATCCTGTGGACCCGTCACACCTGAGTCTGGTCTGCAGCTCCACAGTCCAGTGTGGGAGTGTGACCCACCCTGCTTGGGCCTATAGGAAGTGGCCTAGGCCTGGGATCAAAGTTGATTATTGAAGTCAGACCAAGCTGGGTTTGACTCTTGGTTTACTACTGGCTGCAGTCTTTTCCAATTCTGGCAGGTTAAAGCAGTGCTAGGACCTCAGCTTGCTCCTCTGTAAAACGTAGGTAACAACTTTAATAAGGGGTTTTAATAATGAGGCTGTCGGTGGCACCCCATGAGTGCCTGATGGATGCCAGCTGCTGTTATTACTGGGAAGGGACTTGGTGCCGGGGCCTCGTAGATACTCTCCGGCCCCGGTTTGTGCCTGCCCTGTGATACTCTCCTGTCTCCTCCCTGCCATCTAGCGGGGTTGTTTCTCACCGGCAGGTGCTGGAGCTCTCAGATTCGGGAGAAGGAAGCTGCAGGGGTCTCAAAGGGTGTGACCTGGGGTCTGATTCCCACGAGCGTTGTTTCCTGGTCATATAGGGTTGATGGGAAGACATTGCAGAGGGCCACACTAGCTGCTTGGGATCGAGAAACCACCTGGCATTCATGATGCATCTCTCATTTTTAAATTTCAGATGCACACTCGAAAAAAAAAATACTACTAAAGATTTTTTTTTTCTTTCCAATCTGTTTCTTCCTTTTCCCCCCTGCTATGCTTGAAAGACGAACTGTCTGTCACATATTCTCAAAGTTCTCTCCTTACTAACCTTGCAAAGGTAAATGACTGGTGCATGTCCCTCTGCCCCTCCCGCGTCTCTCCAAGTCATGGCATCCTGGTCTGTGTGCAGACTGGCCGTCGTGGAGTCTGACCCATTTGTCTCGGTGCTGGAGGGTTTTCAGAGCAGTGCCATTGTCCTCAGGTCCATCCCAGTCTGTCTCCTTCCCTCCATGTGTCCTGAGCCAGGGGCCCCACAAAGTGAGTGACACGGACGTTACCTGGCCTCGAAGCTCATTCTTACCTCATCATCATCTGTGGGTGCCAGAAACTGTGGGCTTGGAGCCAGCAGCCGTGGAGGGCAGCAGAGACCCTTCACCCCCCAACCCCATAGCCTGGCTGGGATTCTCCCAGGATTCTCACCAAGTGTCACTGAGGGCACTTGGTCACCTGTTTCCTTTGTCCAGCTCAGATCTGGGCAATGGCTCTGGTGCTGCCAAACCTCATGCCTCTTTTCCCTAAAGATGTCTCCTGCTATGGGTCTTTGGGTCTGTGTGGGGCAGAGGGCTCATGGTGACTTTGACATATCTGTCTGCCTGGCCTCGGCTGTCCTCCCAGCCTTTAGAGCAGCTTTGGTGGAGACACTCAGGATTGGAGAGGATATTGTGTTTCCTTTATTTATTTATTTATTTATTTATTTATTTATTTATTTATGTTAGAGGGTGTGTGTGCTTGCTGGAGTGAGAGAGAAAAAAAAGAGAGGGAAAGTGAGAAAGTACCCGTGGGGGACACACTCACACAGAAATAGTTTCTCCTCCATTCTCTTTTCTGGATTTTGGGAACACATGCATATGTGCCCTGTGTGTTTTTCAAGCTGTTGGGTTCAGAACTTGAACTGTACAGCTGGCCATGTGAGAGCCGGCCACCCTAACCACTATGTCACTGGCTGGCCAGTGTTCCCCTTTGTTTGAGGGGTATATTAGAGAGGTCAGGGAAGGAGAGGACCCTGCTATGTGTGGTGCAGTGGTCACATGTCCCTAGCTGATTCATGAGGATTCTTCAAGGGGATTTTGATACCTGTGAGGCATGGGGTGAGGCATTGATCAAAGGTCACTTTGATCAGACTAGGAAGAGCTTTAGCCATACAGCCTCCTGTGCCTGGCTCCCTGCCTGGACTCCGCCCATGTAGCCATCTGCTTATCACCTGTGTCTGTCTGTCCAACCATGTCCCCAGAGTCTGGATGCCAGGAGCCGGTGTGTGGCTCTGCTTTCAGCTGAGTTGGAGGTCAGCCCTATGCTCCTTAGAGGTCCTGTCTCACGCTCTGTCTGGTGGTGACTGGGGAGGGTCCCTGTGTGCAAGCAGAGAGCAGCTAGGAGTTCTGTGAGGGTTGTGAGCAGGAGGTTCCTGTGGTCACCAGTGATCTCCCAGGCAGCTCTGACACCACTGGAGCTTCTGGTCCTGAGCCACGCCTACCACCTCCATGCCCGTCTCCTACAGGAGACCAGCCCCCATGCTAAGCGGGCTCCTGGTCTTGTGTCTTCTAACTCGGAGCTTGTCTTAGACTGTGCCCTGGGACCTACTCAGGGTCTCTTCACCTGTTTGGTTTATGACACTTTTCTGGAGTTGTATTCTTTGTTTGGGGTGGAAAGAGGGGAAGAAGTCTCAAGTGCATGGCTTTGAGTCTTCTGCTTTGAAAACACAATCAACCACTCATAGCCATTCTCCTCCCTTTTCTTCTGAAAACAGAACCTGAAAGGCTCCCGGAGCAACGCCGACTCCTCCAGGAAACACTGAAGCAGACACCCGGGTTGATTCCATTTCCATTTCTGCAGCTTAGCTTGTGCCCTTCCATCCACCCAAGGCCAGGATAACCCCAAGGACTTCTTCCGAGTTGGGTGGGGTGGAGTGGAAGAGGATTTGCTGGTTGGAGAGATACCATGTGCAGCATCCCCGTCGTCCCTACAGCATCGGGGTAGCTGAGACACCAGAAAACCATGCAGATCTGGGGCTTCCTGCACCCAATACAGGCCACTCACCCTCCCTGGATCTCGGGGATATCTGGCCTCAGACACCTGCCATGAGGCTTAAGGAAGACGACAGCTAGTGGAGAACATGAGAGAGGCCCCAAGGAGGTGACACTGGGTGCCGCTGTGTTGTTATTTTGTTTTTGTCGTCTTAGCCTGGTATGCTGTAGCTGGGCAGATGACACTGGCAGAGAATCCTAAAACGAAAGAGCTAGATCCTAGTTGTTGAAGGTGAAGGGATGTTTAAAAACTCTCACGTGGCTCTTCCATGCATCTTGGCCTGGGACGATGCCTCATGAAGAATGGACTTGGGCAGGTGCTGTGTTGGGGTCTCTTCTCCCAAGAAGTTCCTGAGCTGGGACTCGCCAGTCAGCCAAGCAGGGTACACTCTCCTGCAGATCCACACACCTTCCCGGGCCTGTGCTCTGCCTCTGAAGAAGGGGTTTAAGGACAGAATGGTGTGGAAGCAGATGTAAGCTTTTTGCCGAAACATACCAGCTCGGTCCTCCCTGTCCCAGGGAGCTGCAAGACCACTCTGTTCACCTATGTGGACTGGAAGGCCGCTGAGGGGACCAGGATCACTCCTGGAGCTGTGTTTGCACTTTTTAATGGCAGAAATGTGACCTGAGAGTCGCACCTTGTCTTCAAGAACTTGGAAATCTGGGTGCGGGGCTCTTGAGGCTCTTGAGGCTGGGAACTTCTGAATATGGGGAGCAGGGCATGCCCATGAGATGGGGAAGCCTGGAGCATTGGAATCGTGGCAAGACCAACGACGCGGGACAACAAAGAGGATACCTGACTTCCTTCCCTCAGGACTTCATGGCCGTCCACTTTTCCCAGGAGGGAGCAACAGTCTACACCAGGCCACTTCCTCCAAGAGGATGCTGGGCACCTGGGGACTCCTAAGAGTGGAAGGCCATCCTTGCCTTACTTCTTGGCCTCTGTGACCCTTTCGGGGTTGGAAGCAGGGATTTGGGGACTCGTGATTATAAGCACCTGGTGTCCTTGCCTGTTGACTTCTCCTTGATTCCTCAGATCCTGGGGTAGGAGGAGTATCTCATGCCCAGAAAAAACAATTTGGAAACCCAGCAGAGTTTGTCCAAATGACCCTTTAAGGGTGTCTCAAAGCTTGTGCCAAAGGTCACGTTCCTTTCCTGCCTTCTGCTCATAGCCCTAGCTCCTTCTAACTCAAGGAGACAGGGCCTAGGGTAGAGTGGGATGTAGACACCTGGGCCTAGGAGTGGAGAGGAGCTTTTTATTCTTTTTTTTTTTTTTTTTTTTGAGAGGAGTTTCACAGAATGCACGTTTCTCTGATTGGGATTAAGCGGGAAATAGGGGCATGCATCAGGTACCATACAATTAAGTCGTGGCTTTCTCACTGAACGTTTATATCCTCCCCACTCACCGCACCCCTTTAATTGGCAGAGAGAATGTCTGTATATACATTCCCATACAACTTACAACTTGGGCAATTTCCCCTCTTTTGTAGTATCTTCGGTCTTGTCAGACTGCGTGCGTGTGTGTGTGTGTGTGTACATACGCGTGCATGAGTGTGGGCATGGTGTGTGTAGGGTGGCCATATTTTTAGACAGGAGGGGCCTTCAGGATGCTCTTGAGAATGGTCTCTTAGGTTCCACTTTCTGTCCTCATCCTCTCCTAGTTGTCAGAGCCAACTGAACATAGACTCTTAAATCTGATGCAGGTAGGGGCCTGATGAAGGTGTTTCCCCGTCATCTCTGACTACCTAAAATCCATGATCTAAATAAAGAAGGCCTTGCCTAACACAGAACTTCAGTTTGGTGAGAACAGACATAAATATGGATGGGGAGAGCAAGTCTCGGGGCAAATAGACTGCTGCTTCATTGGAAAACTCTGGCCTGCCTTCTGAGGAGGTGTTGGATGGAGCGTGAGTCTGAGCTCCCACTGTGGGACTTTAGCTTCTATTAATCTCTGCCCCTCCACACCCCCCAAAAATAACTGGGACCAATTTTTTTAATGTTGCATATTTGTTTTTGGGTGGGTTTCCCCCCTTATTATGTCCTGAGACCATGGGCAAAGGTCTTTATTTTGGGGGAGAAGAAAACTGTTTGAACCACACCAATGATTTTTTTTGTTTGTAATACTTGAAATTTATTTTTTTATTATTTTGATAGCAGATGTGCTATTTATTTATTTAATATGTATAAGGGAGGCTAAAAATAGAAAGCTGTATAGATTGGGTTTAGTTGTTCATTGGTTTGGGGCCTTTTATGTGTGACTTATGACTTCACTGTGTTCTGTATATTTGTCTGAATCAATGACCCGGAATGAAGCTGTGCCAGCTTTCAAACAGGGGATGCCTTTCTGAAATTTGTATATTTTGCAGTTACCAGACCAATAAAACACCTGGTTGAAATACACTTTTGAAGTGCACCTCTGACCCTTTCTTGGTGGAGGAAGAGTCTTTAATTGACATCTGTGGTCAACAGACCGCTCAGTTCCTGATCTACCACTTCATTATCTTCTTTTTAATCAGGACATTCAAATACAGGTTGTCTAGTGCCTATTTTTGGGAAGGAACAGCTGACAATCTTCTTATTTTCTTTTTTTTAAATGACTAGATTTATTTTCTAGTTTCAGGTCTTCTTTGTCTTTTTGACAGAAATGAACAAGAAGTACATACAGAGAGTTCCTTTATACCCCTTCAGACCTTGCACAGTCTTCTCTATTTATTATTATTTTTTAATTACTATGATTTTTTTTTGAGAGATTTTGTATAGAGCATGTGCGCTCGCCAGAAAGACACAGAGAGAGAGAGAGAGACAGAAAGCAAGAAATCACCCCCCCCCCC